GTGTGTGTGTGTGTGTGTGTGAGTGTGTGTGTGAGTGTGTGTGTGTGTGTGTGTGTGTGTGTGAGTGAGTGTGTTTTCTTAAAAGAAAAGAAAAGAAAAGAAAAGGAGAGCAGAAGAAGTTCAGAGCATGGGCTGCAGATCAGCTGGGAATCTCATCAGTGTGAGAAGCTGAAGGTAAAGTCCAGCTCAGACTCTCCAGCAGAACATCTCAAACCCTGGATCCAGTCAAGCTGAGCTTCTTTATCCACAAAACACGACCGAGATAAAAGCCACCGCACTATCAGAGCGCTATTTTCTTGACTGTAGGGAACTTTGAATCTCCAGCTCTGCTCGAAAGCAACACATCCCGAGCGGCTCTGGCTCGCTGATTCATTTTTCCCAACAAATCCCGCAGTTTTCCTAAGAGTGCGCTATTCCCGAGCACCGTTTACACAAACCGAACCGTGTTTCCTCCACAGATATAAAGTTGGTTCGACGTTTGACGTTGGATATTAGACAGATATTCAGCCGCGAAAAACTTCAATAAATTCTTAGTGGGTGAGTATAATTGTATACAAAATGTCTTATCTGAAAAGCTTTAGAACGTAGAACTGAACACACATCGCAGTTTATGTGTTTTAATCGTCCTCTATATGTTGAAACGCATAAAATCTCTAGCTGCGGCGAGCTGGCGCTTAGGCCAGCTAGGGACCGTCTGCAAAGTACATGTACAGGATAAAATAATAGCTCAATTATGTCAGAAGCTTCAGAAGAAACCCAGATGTTTCCCAGAAGACAAAATTAGTACAATTTACCCAGAGTCTGTGAGACCTGGAGAGTTTTTCTGAAGAATAATGGACAGTTTAACTGCTCCGGACAAATAAGGGACTGAATTACATATTAGAGTAAAACCTGAATTGTGTTCATTTAGGACTCAGAAACAAGACACACCCTTTGAAGTTGAAATAGAAGACTGTATTGATTTTAAATTAATTTATTAAAGGTTTGAATGTCAAACTCAGCCAAAACTACTGCTGTATCTTCCTCTAGGGGTCAGTAATACTGGAGACTCTTTGGAAGGTTTCACAAGCTATTCTCTTGAATGTCAATAGTGTGACTTCTGCATCTCTTTTGACAACGAAAACAACTGGAAAATGTTCTTTGAGAAATCTGTAACAAGACACAGCCTTTGAAGCTGAGGTAGAAGATTGTATTTAGTTTAAACTAAATTGTGTATTGGTTTAAATGTCTATAATATGTGTTCTATTATAGTTCTGTGGCTAAAACCACCATCAAAATGTTCTTCTAGGAATCAGTAACAAGACACACCCTTTAAAGTTGACATGTCAGACTTTGTGCATTTTTAATTTATTTATTCACATTTCTGAAGATCAAACTCAGTCGAAGCAGCTGCAGCGTGTTCCTCTAGGGGGCGCTGTACTGCACACTCTCTGGGAAGCTTCCAGAGCTCTTTCTCAGGTTTTACAATGCAATAGCTTTTGTTGTGTTACACTTTTGTGAATAAGACCAACATCTAAATGTCATTATAGGAAACAATTACTAGACACACCCCATAAAGCTGAAATAAAAGAGTATTTGTATTTTTTATTAATCGACGTATGTGTTTACATTTCAATAGCATGTGGTGTGTTGGGGCGGTAAACTGCACAATCTTTGTAATGCGTTGCAAACTTTTTCTCAATCGTTCCATTTCAATAACTTTTGTTGTGCTATAGTTCTGTGAATAAAACCAACATCTAAATGTTCTTGTATGAACCAGTAATAAAACACAGCCCTTCGATTTGAGATGTATTTTTTATACATTTCACAAGTGAAGCATTTAGATGGGATAATTGTGCTTTTTGCTCTTCGTTTTGCACTTTGCAGACGGTCCCTATCCTGCACTTTTACATTATAAGGTCTATCGGTTACAATACCTTAGCGACGGAACGTCGAACCAACTTTATATCGGTGTTTCCTCCCGACTCGACTCGGGTCTCTGTGAAAGATGCATTCGGAGGCATGTTACTGAACTCACCATCCCAGCAGTGAAGTCAGACGAGGACAAAGCGCCTGAGCTCGAGAGAAGACTGCGGCGGAAAGTGAAGCCACTCCTCGGTCCGGTCGCATGACGTCACGGCCAGCGGTTCCGGTACACCGGAGCACGCGTTCATTCCCGGGACCCAGACAGCTTCACAGTTCCCGGAGACCGCCGTGTTAGTCTGGGTGTCCTGTACAGAGCACATGCAGGGCTTTTTATGGATAGCAAATGTTGGCCTTTAAATATGAATTATCAAATCTAGCACTCTTAGGGAAATATGATCATGTTTTGTAATTATCATTTAAATGGTTTGTCTTAAAAAAAAACCATCTCCGAAAAATGTTATGGGTTTCAAATCGGAATATGACTTTTTGTTATGAAACAGGGCATAATTGTCATGTCTTCTGTAAAGGACACCGGGACAAACAAGAAATTATACAAGAGCAATATCCCTATGAAATATGAGATATTCTTATTAAAATTATTACTCCCATTATTACACTTCTTTTTCATTACGGTTTGCCCCAAGAACACATTAATATGCAAATTAGATGCAGTGTATACATTGTGTAGAAGGGGGATAGCAATTAATAGACATTTTACGCATATATTCCATAAAGAACAGTAGTATACAAAATCATTCTGTTATATCTTTGACATGGTTGAGAATCATCTTTGTACATAGTTTGGTTAAAAACAGCCTGAAACCTAAAAAACTGATTGGTAAACGAAAAATCAGTTTTTATATATATATATAACTCAGTCCTGGCGTCCTCTAAAGAAAATATGAATAAAATATATTGCATAAAATATATATTGTTTTTGCGTTTTCTTCATTTGTCTCTTATGCTCCAACCAATGCAATGACATACATTTTTTTTTTTAAATAATAAAAAAAATCTGGAAACATTTTTTTTTCTGGTTCTCAGGAGGATATGATTAGTTCTGTAATAACGGAAGCGAAAAAAAGCATTATAGTTAGGGTTTTACTGTATTTGATATTTCATAATTAATATTCACTGTGTGTACTCTTTCATCGTTTTACTAGGTTAACCTTATAGAGCGAATCACCTGAATGAGACAAAAAGAGCATAGAGCCTATTATTATTATTATTATTAAAGTTACATATACTAAAAGAAAAACAAAATAACATGATCTGCTCCAAACAAAAGTTATATAAAGTTATATAATAGATATAGATATTGACTTAAACTGATGACCTTCGATACTCGAACCAATGCTGCAGTGTTCTGCACAAACACAAGAGGGCTATCTGAGCTTTGTTTGAGCTATAACATCAATCAAAGTTACTGAATCAAAGTTCCCACAGATCACAATTCAGTGCTCTGTTTATGCTGCTCTGGCTCAACTATATTATTAATCAGAGACTTTCAAATTTCACACATTTTACTTCTACACATTTCTTTTGGCATATATTGATATTAAAATGTCCCTGTTATTGCTACACTGGTGGTTTGAATTAATAATTATTTACGTGAAAAATAAAACTTGCAGTACCCCCAAACGAGCAGGGAAAGAAACATACAAATAAATAAATAAATAATTATACAAATAAATAAATAAATAAATAAATACGTAAATCAATAAATAGTCAGGGCAGGGATAGAAACGTACGTGCATATTTCTAGCTTTATATTTGATTTTTTAAAATTAGTATATTAAAGTATTTTCATTTGATTTTATTTAATCAAAATTCAACGATAATTTCCCTTAAATGTCTATTTCAATATACATTAAGTATACATTTAATCTGAAATATATTATATGTTTAACTAAATGATTAAGTATACGATATGTAACAATAGAGCGTATATATTTATAAATATGCATTCCAGAGACACTACGCGACAATATGTAATTTACACATAACTGCATGTATTTATAAGAAAAGTTTATATATTTACAAGACTTTTATTTTCTGTCGGAAGCGGCGTGACGTCACATCCGGGCAGCAGCTGTGGCCAGAGCGCTGATTCTGCGAACCGATCGCGATTAAACTGGTGAGAAATGAGTCCTGTTGTGTCGAATTAAATGAGAAATTAATGTACTGTGTCTTTGATCAACAAGTGATCGATGCTGGTCTGAAACTCGTGCTCTCTGTGCTTTAATACAGCTGAAATGTTATGTTTCAATATGCAAATACGCCATTGTCTGAGTACATGTGTGCTAATCTCACATGCTTCCAGAACACTAACAGTAACAGTAACAGTAACAGTGGATAAAGGTTCAGAATTCGGTTTGGTTGAGTTGATATTAGAGATAAAGGTGTTTACAGAAGGGAATTCGGATATAAATCAGAAAATACTGTCAACAGGCAGAAAACAAATACATTTCCACCGCGGTTTAGGCATGAAATGTTAAATATAAACCAGGCGAATTAGAAATATGTGTAAGTTACAAACCCCTCAGAATATAGAGAGGAATAAAACTAAAGTGTGGTGTGTGAAAGTGCCGCTGAAGTTAGGAAGAAATCTCACGGCCTCAGAAAACACATTATAGTTCACTATTTTATTTATATTTTATAGTTCATATTTTCTATGCTTACTTTTTCACACATATATATGTATATATACACACACACATATATATATACACACACACACACATATATATATATATATACACACACACACACATATATATGTATATATACACACACACATATATGTATATATACACACACATATATATATACACACACACACACACACATATATGTATATATACACACGCACACCCTGCTGTTCAAAAGTTTGGGATCAGTAAGATTTTTATTCGTTTTTAAAGAAGTCTCTTCTGCTCACCGAGGCTGCATTTATTTGATCAAAAATACAGTATAAACAGTAAAAATGTGAAATATTATTACAATTTAAAATAGCTGTTTTCTATGTGAATATGTGTTAAACTGTAAT